TTTTCTTTGTTGCAGGGATTTTAATTGCATCTTCGATCTCACTGATTAATTTGGTTTATTTAGAAGTTTTACATCTTCTTGATTCAGCTTTGGCAGTTCATATGTATCTAGGAATCTGTCTGTTTCTTCTGCACTCTCCACCGTATCAGAACACAAGTTCAAAGTAGGCATGGATGCTCTGAACCTCTGCCGCTGCAGCTTCATGCTTTTCATTCCTAACTGCATAGATGAGTCTTTTCTTTCCTTTTTTTTTTTATAAAGTTGGATAAGGGTTTGCCATTTTATTTAACCTTCCAAAGAACCAACTCTTCAATTCATTGATTCTTTGTATTGTTCTTTCAGTCTCCAATGTGTTAATTTCTCCTCTGACCTTTACAGTTTCCTCCCTTATAGGAGCTTTTGTCTTACCCTGCTCTTCTTTTCCTAGAAGTTTGAGGTTCACCATTAAGTTGTTTATTTGTGCTTGCTGTTTTCCTGACATGGGCATTCACTGCTATAAATTTCCCTCTTAAGACAGCTTCCATTCTGTCCCATAAGTTCTAGTCTGTTGTATTTTCATTATCATTTAGTAGTAGAAACTATCAAACTTCTTGTTTATTTTCATCTGTGACTCCTTCATTGTTCAGGATGGTGCTTTTTAATTTCCATGTGCTTATGAAGTTCTTGTGGTTTCTTTTGTCATTGGTTTCCAGTGTTTTTACAGTGTAGTCTGATAATGTGCATGACATAATTTTAGTTCCTTTGCATTCACTTAAACATGTTCTATGAAGTAGTATATGATCTATTTTCAAGAATGTTCCATGTACTGCTGAGGAGACTATGTATTCTGATGTGGGTAGAACACTCTGTAGACATCTACTAAGTCCATTTGTTCAACAATTTGGATCAGTTCCAATATTTCATTGTTGATTTTTTTTTTTGTCTAATGACCCGCATTTTTGTGCCAGTGGGGTATTGACATCCCCCAATACAACCATATTGGAGTTGATATGATTTTTTTTTTATGTCTGTTAGCATTTGTTTTATATAGTTTGGTGCACTGGTATGTGCTACATATATCCTTACGATTGTTATCTCTTCCTCTTGGATTGTTCCCTTTACAATCATGTAGAGATCTTCTTTGTCTTTTTCAATCAATCTGTACTTGACGTTCACTTTGTCTGTAAATAGAATAACTACCACTGCTTTTTTCTGGATTCCTGTTGGATTATTGCTTTCCATCCTTTGACTTTCAGCCTATGAATTTCTTTTTGACTTAAATGTGTTTCTTGTAAGCAGCATCTTGTTGGATCTTGTTTTCAGATCCATTCTTCCAGACTGTGTCTTGTAACTGGTGACTTGAGACCCATGACATTGATGAGTACAAATGACATGTATTAACTTATCTTTGCCATTTTATTTCCTGTTGTTGGCTTCCCCCTCCTTTTACCCTTCCCTCTGTTTAATTGTTTGTGTTGCTTATTGGATTCCTTCTGTTGGGGTTCATGGAATCATAGTCCTTTTTATCTCTTCCTACAATGCCCTTCAAAACATTTTGGAGTACTGGTTTGGTGGCCATAAATTTCCTTAGATGTTCTCTGTCATGGAGTATCTTACTTCTACCATCAGTTTTGTAAGATAGTTTTGCAGGTTACATTAATCTGGGTTGAAGGTTGTTTTCCTTTAGAACTTGAGATACTTCACTCCACCCTCTTGAGTTGCACTTTTGTGCTGAGACGTCAGCTCAGAATCAGCTGTGATTCTGATGAGTTTTCTTTATCGGTGTTTTGTTTCTTTTCTGCAACAGCTTTTAAGATTCTACTCTTGTGTTGAGTTTCCTGGAATCCTGACTATGACACCCTTCAGGATAGATATTATTTGATCATGACTGACTGGAGGTCTATATGCCTCAATTATGTGTATGTCAAATCATTTCTGTCTCCTAGGGAAGTTTTCTGCCATGATGTCTTTGAACTGTTCTTTATATCATTGCTCAATGATTGCTTGTGGTCCCTGCTATTTCAGGGGACCTTTCTTCTTATGATCACTAACGGCAAGCCTGTCTTTTAGGTCTGGAATTCTGCCCTCGCAGCATTGGTGTAATGTGCTCCTGGATATCTGCTTGAACCTGCCTTCTTGAGTTGAGGGTTTCTGGATTCCATTTGTTTCATGTGCTGAGCATACATGGCTTCCATTATTTCTTAAGCTCCTCTAGTTTTTTTGTATCTGCTCTAGAGCCACTAAGTATGGTCTTCACTGTGGACACCATCTCTGCAGTTATCTGAGAAATTACTTCTGATTTGATTTTTTCTAGAGCCTCATTCAATTGCTTTGCTGTTACCACTTCAGAGGGGCCAGGTGGGGGACTTTCAGAGTGTCCCACCTTGTTGCCCCTGGGTTTGCCTTTGGTGAGCTGGATGCCTGAGCTTGCATCTTGATTAAGTGTCTTCTCATTTTCTCTTCCTTTTTTAGTTTAATTCCTGGGGTTATACTTGTAAATTGCCTTTGATGGATTGCTCTCCATTGCTAGTATTTAGAACCCTTAGAAAATGAGTACTTCTCCAAGCTATCTTCCAGGTATAGCTTGTTTTTGCTTTTGTTTTTAACATTTTTATGTATTTAGTACAGAATCTACATGGTCTCACTACACAGATCAGACTTGTACTGATCCTCCTGTTTTCAGCCTTCCAAATGCTGAATTACAGGCACACGCCACCACACCCAGTCTCAGTCAGTGTCTCAGTTCAGGGGCAGGGCCAGCATGGCATGCTGGGGATTGAATCCTGGTCCCTGCACCCACCTAAGTAGGCACTTTAATCTGTTGTAGCTGGATTTTGGGTTTCGAGTCTGTTGTAAGATCTGACATTTTCAATTTGTTGGGGATGCAAAGTTGCTACCTGTTTGGCCCAGCCCCTGGTTCTTTAGCACTGTACCCCAGTATTTTCTGTCAATCTCAGTCTTGGAATAGCAGGAAGTACAGCTTCTTAGAATAAATACATCACTTTTGGCTCTAGTGGTAGCATCAGCAATGACAATAGCATCAGACACAGTGTAGAGAATGACAAACAGAGCTAGCCATTAAATTGATACCTTTAACCGTATGAACTAGATTTGTGGTCACATAGCAAAATATAAAACAAACCAAAAAATGATATACCATATGCAAGTCCTTAATATGTCAATTTTTCCCTCAAGGATTAAAATTTAAAATGTGTTAGGGAGAAAATAGAGAAGTAGAAGAGGAAGAGATTAGAAGTAAGGCTGCGAGACAAAGGAGGACATGTTACCTTTGGGAAACTAGTGCAGAAGACTGTAAGAAAAGAGAGAGAGAAGAAATCAAAAAAGGAACAGAGCAGAACCACAAGCCCAAAGCGGCTAGAAACCATGTCCACACTCATGTAAAATTAAGATCAAACAATGAAGGTGGAAAAAAAATGAGAATGGGAGAGGAGAAAGAGAGAGAGAGAGAGAGAGAGAGAGAGAGAGAGAGAGAGAGAGAGCCCACTGCGAGGTTTGCCTCTGCTGTCCCTGGTAGATAACATGGAGACGGAGCCCTGGTCTGGGTTGATTCATCCCAGCAGGCCAGAAGTAGCGTTTTGGCAGGGCAGTGGATAAGCTCATCAAGCTTGCACCTTCTGACTGAGATCAGACCCATTCTGCCTGCAGCCATCAGAGCACCTGCATCACGCGAACCTGAGCCCAGCTGGAAGCCCCTCAATGAAGCCCACAACTGCTCTGAGTTCGGAGCTCAACTGGCCGCTCTCCAAGATGGCTCCTAGCCCGGTGCTCTCTTGCACAAGATAACTGAGCCCTCAGCACTCACCGCCAGCTAGCGGGGTCCTTCACTTTCTCTGCTCCCCTCCACTGCTGCGTCTCTCTGTGGAGGCCTCCGAGGTCAGCAGCAGCCACCATGTGTCCACAGGTTGCACCTCTCCTCTTGCACAGGGCAATCCCATCTCAGGGGGAGGCACCACGGGCTGGCTACCTGCTTCTTTGTTAAAATTTCTCTGTTCACTCTCTATGGGCTTCAGTTTGAGCCTCAGCTCCTTCCAGGGTCCAAGGGACACACTTCCCCCTTCTTGTCTTCCTCACGTGGTGATACTTGGGCATCTGGTCTGTGACTCTCAGAGAGGCTCTTCCTCTGCTGCTCACCACTGCGACATCTTGGTGTTCTTCCCTTCTATTTCTATAATTTTTCAAGAATGCTGTATAAATGAAATTATAGGGTTTGTAACCTGGGGATTGGCCTTTTCACTCATAATTCCCTTGAGATTCTTGCAAGTGATTGAGCATGTTAATAATTTGTTTTTTCTTATTGCTGTGCCTATAGTTATTTATTTATTTATTTGGTACAGGATCTTGCTACACAACTAGGACTCCTAGTGATCTTCCTGTCTCAGCTTTCCCAGTGCTGGGATTACAGATATGTATGACCACACCTGGTTTTAGTGGTTGGCATGTCACACTGGGGGTTCTGGGGCCAGCATGGCATGCAGTCCTTGGGCTTGCCAGGTAGGCGCTTAAACTACCAAGCTATACCCCCAGGCCATGTCTATAGTTTTGATCATTTGCTACCCCAATGTGATACCCACATCCGATTAAAAATCCAATTAAAAATTAAAATCGATGCATCTCTTACTCTGAGAGAAAGTGTGATTTAGGAGGTGCTTATTGCTTCAGAGTCCACATGTAAGTGAAATCACGTCATGGTTGTCTTTCTGTGGCTGGCTCTTAGTTTACTCACCGTAGGAGATCGTAGGTTCATCTCTGCTTTGCCTAAAGACAAGATTCCCTTCCTTTGAAAGGCTGACAGCTATGTGTGTGCTGACACAACTGATGAATCTGTTGTCAGCTGATGGCCACCTAGGTGCATGTGTGTGAGGACGTGAGACCCGGAGGCATAGTGCGCATCCTCTGGGTTTACACAGATACGCTGGGTGCGTTTCCCCCAAAAGTGACTGACGGGGCTGCTTCCCTACAGCTTTGCCTGACGCTGCTTCTGTATATTCCTCCTTCCCCAGGAGCACATCTACAAGCTGATGAAAAGTGACAGCTACGCCCGCTTCCTCCGGTCCAATGCTTACCAGGACCTGCTGCAGGCCAAGAAGAAGGTATCTTTGGGCAAGGCGGGCCTGCCTCCCCCAGCACCTTCCACTCTTGCCTGCTGCTTGCTGCTGGTGTGGAATGAGGACACCATCCCTTGGGTTTTAGTTCTTTTCTCTCTTCTCCTTTCCTTTCTCTATCTGCTCTCCTCCAGTGGAAAACAGTGAGGATTGTCACCTGCCCAGCCCAGCTGCCCCCACAAGGCCCAGGTCTATGTCCCGTTGCCTTCCTCTGCATGCTTTGCCCATTGGGAAGGACGTATGAGTGAACACTTTGCCCACAATTGCTCAGCACGGAAGTTCTGGGCTGCCAGTGACCCCAGTAAGCCCTTTGGGACACCAAAGAATCTTCCACTGCCAAGTCCAACCCCCTCCTTGCAGACCTTCTTTCCCTGTGCACCTTAGTGATGACCGTGAGATCAGGCGAGGGTGGGGACAGCCCCTGCATGGATGGAACAGAAAATCTCATCAGTCCCAGGGGGCCCACCTGGTGTCCAGAGTCATCGCCAGGATCAGCCCCTCTGCAACATGTCCTTCCTCCCCCTCCTTGACCCACAACAAATCCCTTTTATTTCAGCCAAAAAGTATCCACCCAGCTCCTTCCTCCTCCTCCAGTTTGAATGGAGTCATGGGCCTGGGTTCCTAGGGACCCACAACAGGTAGACGATGAGGGTAACCAACACAGGCAAGACTCAGCTGGGTTTCTGAGAGGAAAGAAAAAAGAGTAGGGAGGGGAATGGGGCTGGGAAAGGAGGACCACAGACAGAGCTCAGGACTCAGGTCACCTGCCCACACTACGCTCTCCACCTCTCATCCAAGGCCACAGGCAGCTCGAGCTGCGCAGATTCCATGGTTTTCAGGCCACGCCACTTAGGAGCACACGTACCTCTTTTTCTTCTCCCCTGTTGGCTTCCCAACTCCAGTCCCAAGTATGTGGCTGTCCATCCACAGGCTCTGTGTCAGGCCACCTCTCGGCCACCTGACCTGCTCTGTCTCCTGTTGACCTCGTGTGCCGCGAGGTCACCTTGTGTGTCTGTGTATGTAGTTGGCACCACTAACTCCAGAGTCCAGGAGCGCATCTCTGCCCTGCCCACTGCCCCACGTACCCCTAGAAGAGCCTTATGAGTCTGGGAAGGAGAAAGGGGCTGGAGGAGTGTCTAGACTGTCAGAATCCCAGCACTATTCATTTCTACATTCCTCCTTCAAGGGGGAGCTCTTGGATGGAAACCATGGCACCTGGCTTCTTGTGAGCTCCCTTGCTGCAGGTGGCAGTAAATCCAGGTCTTAAGGAAGGGGGCTGACACCCCCACAAATCTCTCTGATGCCCATTGTTTTTTGAGAACCGGGGAAAGAGCAGGGTTATCGAACTCTACTCCAGATCTCAGAGAGAAGCTCAAAGTAAGTTTTCCTTATTTGTCATGGTCCAAGTCACCTGAAGCCATACAGTTTGGAGACATTCTAAGGCAGCTGAAGCGATCTGGGCTTTACCTGTATATCTGAGACCTCCCTTTAGGTGTGAACACCCAGGGAAGATGCGCCCCCACCCAGGACATGGGCTGAGCTACCCGGACCCGAGGCTCATCCCTATGAAGATTCAGGGGAGATCAGTGGAGGGAGAGGAGCTAACAGCCTTCCTGGGCACTGTGACAAATGGAGTTCATCACAATTTCCTCCCAGCCCTTAAATTAAGGGTTATTCTTAAGGCAAAAAGCCCTTGAAGATGCCGACACCCTTTCAGTATTGAGGTGTTCCCGTAAACAGTGACAAAGCCTACTTTTCCTTCCATTTCTTTCTGAGAAGCTCCAGGCACAGAGGAAAGTCGTAACTCAGCACCTAAGGCAGGCCTAGAGCACCTACTGGTTTCCGTGGTAGCTTGCCATTTGATTTTAACATCCAGATCTCTTTTTTGTGGGGGGGCCAGCTCAGCCCACCCTGAGGGCAGGGCTAAGGCAGCCTGTGGTGCTGGGGATCAAACCGCGGTCCCCTGTGCCTGCCTAAGCTTGCCTACCCAGGCGCTTTAGACCGCTGAGCTATCTCACCGGCCCCTTAACATCCAGATCATAAGGGCAAGGGAGATACACACATCTCCGGCTGGGAGGGAATAAGGAACTGGCCTCGGGCTCCTGCTGAGAGCAGCCCCTGGTGGCCTCCACGGGCACAGCCTTCTAGTTATTTTTCTCTTATTCTTCCTCTTTTCTGATATTTTTGGAGGAAATGGTAGTTACTCTGGAAAACCAAATTGTCATGGGGTAGGTGAGATGGTTTTGAGAGCTAAGCACCAATGCAGACGAGATTCCAGGGCAACTCTGGGCCTGTTTACAACAGAGGAAGCTAGTAAGTCGGGCCCATGTCTGCCCTCTACGAGGAGCACCTTGGCGGCCCCGTGATGAGAACAATAGGCACAGAATCCTGGGTCTCGGGCTGGCCTAGCCTGAGCTCACTCTGTGCCACCCTGGCTGTCCACGGAATTAGGTCACATCCTGCCATCCCTGGGATGGAGTCCTGGTATGTTCCCAGGGCCATGCAGGCATCCTTGCGTTCCTTGTGCAGGCAACGCCAAGCCCAGCTCTGGGGTCGCATGTCCTTTGTGTTGTGTTGTCCTCCCATGACCTGGCGTCTGCCATCCAGCAGCTGAGCAGGCGGGCTCACAAGCAAGTCCTCCAACCTGATTCACTCTGGTCGATGGCTGCCTTTGGCCTGGCCCTCATGCTGCAGGCCCACAGACCTTGGGCTGCTCCTCCAGTACCACATGTCTGTTGTCTGCTGGGTGTCCATGTATGTTCACGTGCATGTGTGTTCCCTTTCGGCCTAGGGCTCAGGACCCTGGAGCAGGGGCTGTAGCATAAACGGGTAGGACTTGGGGATGGAATTCTACTCTTCCTGGGGAGGAAAGTAAGGGAGAGCGTCAGGCACACCTCCCCTGAGAGCCGAGAGCAGCTGGGGTTAGGAGAACATTCCAGGGCTTTGCCTTTGCTTGCCCCGATCCTGAAAACCTCAGCTAAGATCCGCAGGGAGGCATCTGAGCCTCCTGGAGCACCTCATAAGTACACCTTGGATGTGTCACCTGCCTGGGGACCAGGAGAGCATTTCCTGTCCATAGCACAACCCACATTGCTGTCTTCAGAGGCCGCAGGCCCTTGGCCACTGCTAAGGATATGAACAGACCCTCGGGACACAAAAAAGGGTGTTTAGGGATCACTGAAGGTGGCTCACTTTTTCCTGGGTGGGAAAATCTCAAGAGAGCAAAAGATCCTGGCCCAGTCCAGAGCATGATTTCATGATGTCACTTGGGGTGGAGGGTGTGGCTCTCTGGACACCCCACCCCTTGCCCCCTAGGTGCCATCTGGCTGCCTGGGGCCTCTTGGCAGCACCCAGCCTGGGCTCCTGCTCGTGAGCAAAGCTGGGCACCAGAGGGTGCAGCCCCACCTAAAGCCCCGCGCGCGCCGGCCCCTCCAGAGGCGGCCCCTCTCTCCCAAAGGCCCTGGGGCTTCCGCCTTCTGTCGCTCATTGACTCTGCCATCAGCCCTGGCTGCTTCTCCTCTCCTGTTTTCCGCCCCATTTGGCTTCTGCGTTTTGTTCTTTCGCTGTGGCTGCTGCTGTTTGGAAACCACGCATAAGCTGAAGACTTTTTTTGTTGTTGTTCTGTATTTTTCTTCCTACCTTCCCCCGCCCCCCCCCCAAAGCCCGAAAGTGAGCAAGGTCGTAGAACTTCCCTAGAAAAGTTCACTCGCAGCGTGGTAAGTGCAGCTGGTTTTCTTCCCTCAACGTTTCTTTTGGTCTGGTTTTGGTTTTTCAACTTCTTCTGTCCTGTTTTGGTTGCCGTCTTTTGGGGGGCGGGAGGGGTTCCGGTGCTTTCCACCTCCACTCACTCCTTTTCTTTCGCAAGCCCTTCTGCAGCTTCTCTCCTGGGGGTGGATTCGCAAAAGAGCAAGCAGCTCCCTCTGCAGAAGGTGCACAGCAGCCTGCCCAGCCTCATCGCAGGCCTGTGCTCTGGGTCAGAGCTTTGGGGAGCGAGCCCCCATGCCCTGGGCTGCGCGGGGCGTGTACCTTCTGCAGGCCCCAGGAAGGCCATCCACCGTACCAGGAGATAAACTGGCTCAGAGCCATCGCTCATCTTACCCCCCCTCCCCCAAAAAAGCCCAATTTCCTCTGTGAACTCTTGATGGTCACACTGGTGCAGGGAGCGAGCTAGTGCTGCTGTGTGGGCGGCTTTGGCTGTGGCAGACTGGCGTGCTGCATGGGCTCTGGCGATGTGGTCTAGCTGGCGTGTCAGCGGGTCTGCATGAGCTCCGACAGCCCGCACAATCCCCCTTCAGCTCCCTTTGTACACCGTGAGCAGAGAGGAGGTCAGGCACGGAGTCCCGCAGTGCCCCTGCACTCCCCAGGGGCAAGACCGTGCCGGGCTCCTCAGCCCTAATCTTGACCATGAGTAGAAGCAAGCAGTATGTTTGCTGTCCTCACAAGGAAGGCGCTTTCCTCCAGACACACCCAGCATGGACAGGAAGGACCCAGCATGATGCAGGAGAGGGCCTGTAGGAACAGGTGACAGCAGCCATGTAGCACCTTCCCTGGTGTGCACCGTGGAGATTCTGCACTGCGCTGGTGTATAGAATACTCTAGACCTATTTCCTGGCTCCGTCTGCACTCTGTGAAATTCAAGCATAGGTCTTGGGACACAGAAATACTTCACTCAGCTTGTTCACTGACAAAAAAAAAAAAAAAAAAAGCCACTGAGTTCCTAGGGCGCTGTCTGTCCTGTTGTCGTCCAGCCAGAGGGAACCAGGAAGGCAGACAGAAAGTAGGGGTCTTGCGCAGGGAAGTGGCCATATTTCTTTTTCTAAAGAGTCCCATTTGCCTTATTTGCCCATCTCTATTGCAGAGGAAAGTCCTTATAAAATATGCTGGCTGTGTGATTATTATCCTTATTCACACTTTTGACATAATTCTATGAAACTTAAGTTGAAAGCAACCTATTCATCCGCCTGTCATTGCTAGATGTGTTTGAACTGCATTTCAACATTACAGATTCGCTAGCTGTAGACACCACAAGAACTCTCGCCGACAGCAGTTAAAATATGGGTGCTCGCATCTTCTCTTCTTGGGTCTCTTCTCTCTGTGGTCTTTCCTCACAAGAAATGAGAGCAGGCCAAACACCAAGCCCACTGGGTCTTGGTCACATGGCTGGCTTACCAAGGCCATGCGGTATCACGTGATGAGACGGTGCCACAGACAGCGGGAGACAAGGCTCTGGGGCTCCCTCTGGCCCACGATGGTCCCACAGAGAATGGCGCAGCACCTCTGCCTTTTGGAGGTGGGGAACATGTATGAGTCCAGACATGCTGAGAGTGTGTCAGGAGGGCAGCCTGGCCTCTCAGGTATGGGCTGGAGAGAAAAGCAAGCTTCTCCATGTAGGAAAGCAGAATTCAGTCCACGCTGTTCAGGCCCTCTGGTGTACTATGTGGGGTAAGAGCGTGAAAGAGAAATGCTGGCATGGGGACCAGATTCACAAACATCTTCAGGCTGCTTTTCGTGAGAAATGGGTATCAGGAAAGGCAAGAGTGGCGAAGCTCTGAGGAGCATCTATTGATGTCCTTTGATCACGAGGGAGCAGCATCGGCTCAGCAGCTCTTCAAGGCCTGTTAGCAAAACAGAGCAGGGAAGCAGCAGTCTGCCTCCAGGGATCTCAGGCGCGCACACACACACACACACACACACACACACACACACACGGGAGAACTCGCAGGGATGCTGTCGGTGTGGGCTGAAGGAGAAGAACAGCCCAGGCTCCTGAGACCCCAGGCACAGATGTGACGGAAGGCCCACAGCTTACGAGTTCCATTGCTAAGTGCCCCGCGGCTTTTTATGAACAGGAGACTATACTGCGGCTACTTCCAGGCCTTTGGGACCCATGCTTGTCCTTGGACTCCTGGCGTAACACTACAGTCCTATGGGTGTGACTGAGTTTGGGGACATGGTCCATGGGGACAGGACAGTGTCAGCTCTCTTCCTATTCAAGACTGGAACACAAGAATTTGGTCTCAATAGCCTAGTGGTCTAATTAAACATAAAACCAACCAACCAATACACAATGCACTTTGATATTTATTTTCTGATCTGTAGATATCTAGTATTCAATTTTCTAAAAGATTTACCCAAATGTTTCCCTTACCACACACTACAAACGGTCATGCTACATAAAGGTCAGCCAGGCACGGTGGCACATGTCTGTGATCCTAGCCCTCCAAGAGGCTGAGGCAGGAAGTTGGCCAGATTAGGCAATTTATCAATTTAGCAAGACCTTATCTTATAATGCTTACAGGGTTGGGTTGAACCTGTGCTAAGACCCGGGATTCATTTCTATGAAACCTAAGTTGAAGGCAACCTATTCATCTGCCTGTCAGAGCTAGATGTGTTTGAACTACATTTAAACATTACAGATTCGCTAGCTGTAGACACCACAAGAACTCTCGTCGACAGCAGTTAAAATACGGGTGCTTGCATATTCTCTTCTTGGGTCTCCTTCAAAGGGAGGGGTCTCCAGCGTCCACTTTAATGTCAGTGGAGAGATGGGTAAGAAGACCACCTGAATCCCAGAGTTAATAATGGACACGTGAGAGGGTGCAGGTAGACTGCTCATGGCTCAAGAACATGTGGCCAACTGTCACTTAGGACTAACCAGTGGCAGAGCATGTGGGTTCAAGTGCCCCGTCAGCTCAGGCCTTGTCTTGTGCAAACAGAATCTGAATCCAGAATTTCTTCCACAAAGCACATCAGCACCCCCTCCTTTCTTGGCAAAGGAGGAAAATATGGAGAGAGCCCAACTGTCCTTCCGAGTCTCAGGGTGCGCCCTGACATGGAAGGATCATCTAGTTAAAGCCACAGGTGTCACTGTTGCATCAGATCCTAAGAACAACTTAAGTGTCTCCTGGAAACTTCTAGAACCATGCTACCTTGAGTTTAGGAGGGGTCTGGCCCTCCCTAGTAATGTCAGTGCTTCCAGGGGAAGGTTCATTCTAGGCCCCTAGCACATGAGAGTGCCAAGAAAATGTCTGGGGGTCTGTACTAATCACATGTGTTTTGGAAGAATGGAAATTGTGCGGCTGGCCTAAAACCCTGCTTATGTGATGGGGAAAGCCCAGGGTCAGAACCAGACACACTTGAAAGTCCAGACAAGTTGCCAGCAGTCTGGGGAGGACTTTTATTCACAACAGCACACAGGACTCCCTCTGGAGGGTCCAGGCCCCAGGAGCCCCAGCGACAAAGCCAAGTGCAGGCAGGATTTCACCCCTGCCTCAGCCCTTGTCTGCCTGGATACCGAAACAACCCACACACTGTATGTAGTTTTTTCCTTTTCTGCGGAGCCCCAGTTTCACAAAGTGTCACAACACACACAGCGTCTTGAGAGGGTCCCAGATAGTACCTGCGGCCAAAGGAATCTATTCTAGAAAAGGCAGGTGTACAAGAACTAGTCACCCAAGGTGGAACCTACCCAGGGCCTGAAGAGAGAGGGCAAATGCAGGACTGCCCAGAGAACAGCTCCCCGGGCGCGTGTGCCAGCGAATGGCAGCAAGGAGGAAAGATCCCTGCACCCCAAGGCGGGCACAATGGGCTGTTTGCTCAGCTAGACAAAGGTGGCCTGTGGCCAGCCTGAACACACCTGGTCTTTCTCAAAAACCATTAAATTGTCAAATGTCAGTTAAGAAGCAGCCCGAGTGCCAGTGGGTAGTATGAAATGCTTCACTGGCTGTTTTAACAGCTTTGTTTGTGTGCAGGGTCACGTGGCATGGATACCATAGGTGCCACCACAATGGCTATAGTCAGGGCAGGCTGGACCCCTTCGTGAGCACAAGCCATTCTCACCTTGTCTTGCTCACTAGAGAGCTTCCTTTCATAGACAGTGGCTGTAAACTACGAAAGCCACAGCAGGAGACAGCCGGCTAGTTACGATGGCCTGTCGCTGCGTCAGCTTCCATCTCGTCTTCGGGTTCTCTGCTGGGAGGCCCTGGGCATCCTTAACCAGGGACAGGGAGGGACTTCCTGTGGCTCAGTGCCAACCAGCCCGCCAGTCTCTGCCGTCTTCCTGGTTCTGTGGTGTGCAGTTGACAGTGGGGGCGCAAGGTGGCCAGAACTGAAAGGCCCGCCACCGCTGGTCTGTCCTCGATGGGCTCGTTCCCCAGGGTTGACCACGGCCCAACCCGGGAGGAGAGGAAGCAAAGGGCTCTCAGCCAACCCATGGCTGCCGCAGCGTGACCTTCACTTTGTGGACAGTGGCTGAAGCCATCTGGTGAGAGCCCTGACTTGGGAAAAGCCGAAGGCCCCTGCCCAGGTAACAGTGGCAGCAGCTCCCTGAACACCCCTGCCGGGATGCTCAGTGGAAGAAGCCCCAGTTTCACCCTGGAGAGCTTGGTGGGCTCTAGCTTTGGGCCCCAAAGATGGGAAACAGAGTTGGTTCCACTGAGCAAGCACCAGGGACATCGAGATTCGGCATTTCCCTCTGCTGACAGCAGCGGGGCCCCGTGCTGAGGGAGCCTCGACCAGCGGCGTCTCTGCCACAGGCTTTTCTGTCACGCCTGCCAAGGAATGCAACGGGGAAAGTCAGATGGAGAGGAGGCCCTGGGAGCCAGCTGTCGCCCCCTCTCTCCCCCTCCCTCCCAGCCCACAGCTACTAGTAGGTGGACAGCTCCCCACTTCCACGCAGTTCTGCGGAAGGAAACCCCAGCTCTAGTCCTGTGCTGCC